TGCTCTCCAATCTGGAAATGCACACTGTGGCCAGGTTAGGGCTAACCCCTGCAGGGTGGGCAGAAGCTTCTAGAAGTCCAGCAGGACCAAGCCACGCTCCTCCAAGAGAGGGGGCATGCGGGGGCGTGGCCTAAGAGGAATGGGCAGGCTGCGGCGGGGCCTAAGCGGAGAAGGCAGGCAGGGGGCGTGGGGGGGGGTGTCGCGAGGTTCGCTGAGGTCTCGGTGCTGTACTGCCTTCCGCGTCCTGGTGGCCAGGCTGCGGGAGGGAAGAAGCCCGGTGGGAGGAGGGATCAGAGGCCAGTCCAGGAGACAGAAGGGGCCTAGCCCAGAATGCAGTCTGCCTGGCCCAAGCCGGGAAATGGCCCCGTGGGACGGGGCAGAGGGAAGAGCCAAGTGGAATTGAGTTGGCTCCTTTCCCGGCCCCCCAGGCACCTGCGGAAGCCGGAACACAAACTCCTGCAGCAGCTGCGAAACCAGCGGGCCAACGTGTTCATAGTGACTGAGGTCCTGCAGACACAACAGGAGGTGGAGGTCAACCGCACCCGCAAACAGGAGGGTTCAGGTCACTTCTCGCTGCCGGGAGCCGTGTGCTTGCAGGTAAGACTGGCTCCTAACCCAGGAAGCTGTGCCCCGGAGGATCCTGGTCCAGAGTGACCACCCCCCAACAGCCCAAGTCCCAGTGGCCAGAGTCCAGTCCAGCTGTGAGCCACTTCCCTGCACCCCAGGGCCAAGGCCAGGGCCACCTGAACTGGAAGAAGACGGTCACCATCCCTTCTGGCAGCACCCTTGCCTTCCAGGTGGCCCAGCTGGTCATCGACTCTGAGTGGGGTGAGCAGGGCTGGGAGGGAAGGCAGGGCAGAGCTCCAGGACCTCAGGGTAGGCTTCTCAGCTTCCTGGTGGCCTGGGTACCCCAGGGGGAACAGGAGCCCTGGACAACCAGCTTCCTCTCTGCCATCAGACATCATCTTCTTCCTGGACAGGAGGCAGAGTACCTTCAGAGAGCCCCTGACAAGTAGGTCACCCACGCCTCAAGGGTGAGGCCTACTGGTGTGCTGAAGGGCATGGGGTAGGAAGTTGCCAGGTGGGAGGGCATCACACACAGGGACCTGGCCTTCAGTATTGGGATAGGGTGGTAGGACACAGGAGGGCCTGTGCTGACCAGCCTGCCGACCCTCCCTGTGTCCCAGCCACAGGACTGCACCCACAAGGTGCTCGCCTGCTGCCACCCTCCTACCTCTCATCGCTGATGCAGTCCATCTGGCAGAACTCTAGGCTCCAGAGTGGTCAGTCCCGAGGCCTGGTGCTACCCTTCCCCGCCCGGCCTCTCCAGGACCCTACTCGCAGCCTGCCAATACCAGCCTGTGTGTCTGCAGATGGGTTGGAGGGGTGGGCATTGCCCACTGAGGACTTCACGGGCCTGCGCACAGAAGTGGAGACCCAGGCTGAGTTGCTGGAGCCCCTGAGCTGTGGGCTACGGCGGCAGCTGCTGGAGGCGCTGGGGAGCCTGCTCCCGGACATGCTGGCCCTGAAGGCTCTGGAGGAGGCTGTGAGTGGTGGCAGGTAGGGATGGAGCATCAAGACTTGGGCCTGCTAGCCAGCTCATCCATTGTCCATCTGTCCTGTGTCCAGCTGGAGCAGGGGCTGAGCAGCAAAAGGGTGGAGCCTCGTGATTCACCAGAGGGTGCTGTGCTCGAATGCCTGGTGCTGCACTCCCGGGAGCTGGCCACGGAGCCGACTGCCCCCATCTACTATCTGCTGGGGGCCCTGGCTGGTGAGGGCCCTGGGGCTGGGCAGGCGGGGGTTAGGTAAGACATCCTAGCTGGGGCCTTCTGGAAGCCCCTTACCTGAGGTCCCTCCCTAGCTCTGACTGAGACCCAGCACCTGCTGCTGGCCCAGGCACTGAGCACAAGAAGCCTGTCTGGACAGCTGGAGCTGGTGAGCAGGCGCAGCTTGGGGGGCTGGGCAAGATATGGCTTTGGGTGTGCTTGGGCAGGTGGGATGTGGGAGAGGCTAAGGACTAAGGGTTTCATCTGCAGGTGGAAAGCCTATTGGAGCAGAGTTCCCCATGGCAGGTGCCCAAGGAAGTGTCTCTACCGCTGGGGAGCAGCTGGTGTGAGGACACCCCTGCCTGGGTCTTGCTGGAGGAGTGTGACCTGGAGCTGCAGGTGGATTCCCCCCAGGTGTGCTGGAAACCCCAGGCCCAGGGCCCCACATGTGCGCTCTACGCCGCCCTGGTGGTGCTAAACAGGCTTGCCCAGGAGCCATGCTAAGAGTGGCCTTTCCCTGAGGGCCACACCGTAGGCCGGACGGGTCACCTGGCCAGTTCGAGAGTGTCTGAGGCCTAAAAGAGAGAGTGAGCTCTGGGGAAGCTTTTACTCTCTTGAATTTTTATTGTGGAATAAATGAAAAGACTTCAACCATTTTTACTCAAATTCTTCATCCCCGTGAACCGAAGGGCAGCGCTCCCTTTTCCTGGTTGCCATTCATAGGTACTGGTCTCTGTGGTTGTTACACCCCCTTCAGTCCGTTCCGACCCATAGTGACCCCGGCTACAACTGAGGGAAGCACTGCCCGGTCCTGCATCAGCAGCCTCACCCTCGTTACAGCGCTATGTCAGTCCAGCTCGGAGGGTCTGGCCCTGGACTTTACCAAGCAGGAAGAGGAAGGGACCTGCTCATCTGGCCAGTGGGGTACTCGGCCTGGCCCCAGTCTGTCATTACATTAGAACCTTGGCTTTGGAGATTCAGGGGAGGAGCCACAATGACCGCTCTGTCCTCAGGCACCCTTGACATGCCAGGTTCAGGCCTCCAAAAGGTGGGGAAGGGGGGGCTCTGCCAAGAAACACAGACCCAGGCCTGGTAGTAGCATATTGTCCATGCAGATGGCAGTCCACCTGCAGGGTCCCAGTTCACTGAAATCCCTAGTACCTGCCCTGGGCTGTTCACTCAAAGCAGCTGAGGGCGGACCTGGCCTCAGGGAGCCCACAATCTGGAGGACACTGCTTGGGGGCTATCTGAAATGCAGTACCGAGGATGGGGGGCTGGCTCAAACACAGGGGCACTAAGAGCAGGTAGGATCCTGGCTCTGCCCCCAGGTCCAGGTGCTGGCCCTCAGGGCATGAGGTACATGTACTCCCAGGGCCACACTTAGGCCACCAGAGGATGGAAGGCCTGATGGGAGTATCACCTGGCTGTCACTCTGGTGTGTGAGATGGATGGTGCCCCTGACCAGTGCTCTCCAATCTGGAAATGCACACTGTGGCCAGGTTAGGGCTAACCCCTGCAGGGTGGGCAGAAGCTTCTAGAAGTCCAGCAGGACCAAGCCACACTCCTCCAAGAGGGAGCCTCCCTGGGTACCCATCAGAGAAGCCCTTCCAGAGGTTATCCCACGAGGAGGCCTTTAGAGCCCTATCCCCAGGGCAATGTCCAGCTCCTTCTGGTACCCACAAGAGGGGCACTTCACAAGAAACATGCTGACACATGACTGGTGCCCTTCTGAGGCAGCCTCTGAAACAGGCTGACCTTGAACTTGGGCCCCGGTGCCCTTCCAGATAGACTCTCACAATATACATGTTGTGAGGCTACTTGGCCCTGCCTAGGTGGGAGCTTGGGAAAGAGTCAGGGCCCCCGTGTTCCCTCCACTGCACCCCCTCAGGGAGGCTGCACCCCTTCAGGGAGGCTGTCCGTGCTGGCTAGATGGATGGCCAGCTGAGGGGGTGCAGAGCTGACGGGTCGGTCGGTCCACAGGTGTAAGAGGTGAGGGGCACAGGGTGAAATGGTGTGGGACAGAAGAGCCAGGCCCCTGGTTGCTAGAGGTGGCTGTGCGCAGAAAACCTTGCTGTCTGGAGCCTGCTCTTCCTCGGGGTGGGGACTAACAGGCCACAGGGTCTCAGGCAGGCTCAGCCCCAGCGGTCCGCGTGGCTCCGCCGCTGGAAGGGGCTGTCCGCATAGACCGGCGGGGCGGGGTTGCGGGCGGGGTCGGCGCGGCGCCGGGCGCGGCGCAGGAGGCTGGCGAAGCGCGGGGCGCGGGGCCGGCTGTGCGCCCTGGCCAGCAGCGCCACCTGCTGGGAGGACACGCGCGCCGCCGCGCCCACCGCCGGCTCCGGGTCGGACCGCAGCTGCCCCAGGTCTGCAGGGAGAGGGCGCGAGGGGTGGGGGTGGGGGGAGCGGATCAGCGGGGATGGGGTAGGGTGCGCAGGACTGCCGGCCCCCCGCCTCTCCAGGGCCCTAGCCCCCGGAGTGGCCAGCGAGTCGGGACCTCACCCTGGAACAGGGAGTCCAAGAGTTCGCGGCTGACTCGGCCGGGGCTGGCATGATGAGCGAGGAAGCCTGCACAGAGTGAGGTACACGATAAGTGTGGGCCCACACAGCAGCGCTGCGAGTGGGGGTGGTGAGGACCCCACCCCGCCGTACCTATGAGCACCACCGCTGCCAGGCGCAGGGGCCCCTGTGGGCTCCGAAGGTAGCCTTGAGTCTGACTCAGGAAGGTGGCCACGTGGCTGGGGTACCGCTGAGCCTGAGGACAGGAGAGGTCAGGGCGGAGCAGGGGGACTGTCCGGTGCAGATGAGGTCCCAGGGCTGTCTTCCAGGGAAGCAGACCCACAGGCGTTGGACGATCAGGTGGGCTGCGATGTGGGGGCACCCAGATTGGAGGCAGGGATCTCAGGGGATGCAGCAAATACCAGGCCAAGTGGGCAGCTTCCTGGGGGCCTCTATCACTGTGCCGCCCCACCCCCAGCTCCCACTGACCAGCCGGTGGCAGATGCGGCTTAGGGCCTCTGGGCTGTCGTAGTGTGCCATGGTCACCACCTCCTCCAATAGGCCCCAGCGCAGGGCCTGGTCACAGCGGGCCAGGGTCCACTCGGAGCTCTGGGAACAGTTAGGGAAGGGAACAGCAAGTGGTGAGGGAAGCCAGGGCCAGCCAGGGTGAGTGGGAGAGGGGGGGAGCCCAGGGCAGAAGGGAGTATGGGGACCCAGGGAGGACCCCGGAGCCTTGAGGGGCTGCAGTAACTCTGGACTGGCAGACTATGGGGAAGCTGCTCAGTGAGGGTGGGGGAGCTGCGGGAGTAAGGGCGAGCGATGGGTGGGAACGGAAAGGGGCGGTTCCGGGGGCCCTGACCTCGGCAGCATCCCGGCTGGGGTCGTGCAGGCGAAGCAGCAATGGCACCAGGCTCTGCAGCACCAGTTTCCGCAGGGGCCCGCGGAGCCCCACCCGGAGCCCACCCCGGCCCCGCCGCACCAGGGTCCCCAGGAGCCCGGCAGCCGAGGCACGAACCGAGTCCCGGGCCTGAGGGAGAGGGTGTGGTCACGGCGGGCTCCGGATGGAGTGGGCAGACAGGGCCCAAGGGGGGCATGGCCTTGGACGAGGTGGGGGATGGGGGTCCCAGGGCAGAAGGGCCAAGGCCAATGAGGAGGTATAGAGCGTGCCTCTGGTGGGAGAGGCGTGGCCAGGAAGAGGTGGGGAAGGTTCTTTGGCACAGGGCGTGGCCAGGGGTGGGAGGGGTGTGGCAGGGCGGGGGTGGGTGGGAGGGGGGG